GTAACAAGAATAGTCATAAAATTACGGGAATAAAGTCGAAAAAATACGTGAATAAAGATGTACAATTACGAGATTCAAGTTGTAACGAGAATAGTCATAAAAGTACGAGAATAAAGTCGTAACAAGAATAGTCATAAAATTACGGGAATAAAGTCGAAAAAATACGTGAATAAAGATGTACAATTACGAGATTCAAATTGTAACGAGAATAGTCATAAAAGTACGAGAATAAAGTCGTAACAAGAATAGTCATAAAATTACGGGAATAAAGTCGAAACAATACGTGAATAAAGATGTACAATTACGAGATTCAAGTTGTAACGAGAATAGTCATAAAAGTACGAGAATAAAGTCGTAACAAGAATAGTCAAAAAATTACGGGAATGAAGTCAAAACAATACGTGAATAAAAATGTACAATTACGAGATTCAAGTTGTAACGAGAATAGTCATAAAAGTACGAGAATAAAGTCGTTACAAGAATACTCAGAAAATTACGGGAATAAAGTCGAAACAATACGTGAATAAAGACGTACAATTACGAGATTCAAGTTTTAACAAGAAAAATCCTAAAAGTACGAGAATAAAGTCGTAACAAGAATAGTCATAAAATTACGGGAATTTTTATTATTTGTGCAGATATGTATACAATACTTAAATATCATGCAGTTTAGCTCCATGTTGTTTTTAAGAAGACGCCACATTATACAGTAGAATGAAAAAAGAAATCTGGCATCTGTTGGATTTAACACTACTGTATTGTTTCATGAGAACTTAAAGGAATGTGAAAATATAAGATAATACATGCAAATTCAGATGTAATATTTGACTTGATTAAAACAAAATAAATAAATATTTTTTTGCGACAGCAGGTTAATAAAAATCGTAAATGAGACATGAGGTCACAAAGGTCAATTAGCAAAAATGAGGCATCGTTATGTTATCTTGTGGACTGAGAGACGGATGTGAGATTCTTTTGAATTTTAGTTCTAATCTTTTTTTATTCAACTGACTTAAACGGTTGTCGATGTTACCATGGCAGGGAGGAATTCACACATACTCAAATCATATTGCAAAAAACTGAAATCTAAGGATGTCAATAACTCCATTGTTTTCTTGAATTGGGGAGGTAAGTGAGGCGCTTTGCCAATGGAATAAAAAAAATTTACATTTGAAATAAGAAAAAAAAACACTTCAGTGTCTTAACACAAGTCCATTATATTTAATAATGTTAATTTAACAGTAAAAGTCCTCATTCCATTGGAAGCTTATCTGTTTACTGACTCAAATTTACAGCAAATAGGCTCTTTTTAAGAAATTTTTACTCAGATTGTTTTTGCAGTGCAAATGGTTCGGTGTCTGAGGCTCTACATTTCTTTCATTAATTGTGACTTTGTTGTTCATTGTTTCATTGCTTTGCCAGGACATCCACAGGAAGCGTATGGAAAAGGACTTATTGGAGCTGCACACCCTGATTGATGCTCACTTTGAGCAAAGGAAGAAGGATGAGGAGGAACTAATTGGTCTGAAGGATCGCATTGTGAGATTGCTTTTAAGATTATTGCTTGTCTCCAAGACTCCAAATTGGTTTTCAAATAAATGAGAAAGTAGACGATTGCTAAGTATTTTTTCCCCTCAGGAACGCCGTCGAGCTGATAGGGCTGAGATCCAGAGGGTTAGAGCAGAGAAGGAGAAAGACCGGCAGATCCGGATCGCGGTAAAGGCCGAGTTTTCTTTACCTGTTTGAAACAGTAAATCCTCAGTTTAACTGTCACTTGCAGCTTATGTTTAACATTTGCACTGCTTTGCAAACACCTCTGTAACCATTTTTTCACATTTTGTTATGATATAATAACTAACTTGATTGTATTTTAGAGGATCGTATGTCACAGATCAGCACAAAGTGGTAAAGTGAAAATAAATAAATACATGGTTCTCTGCACTATAGAAAAAAATCAAAAAGTGATATATGTTTATTGATACAGGGCCCTTTTACACTGATACCCCGCAGTAAAAAACGTTGCCTCATTTGTCTTCAAAAGTATCTGTAAACTTTGTAAACTCCTACGCCCATAGCCTTTCAGCCAGGCCAAAATCTCCCTCTAACGACCCTCTTTCAGAGACATAGACATGTATCAGGTATTACAGGCTAACAACTAACTCAAACGACCTCTATTCAAAAGGGGCGGACCCGCTCGTCCAGTTGCACGTTTTCTAAACCAAAACAAAGTGTTTTTGGTCCAACCTGTAAAAACTTTACGCTATTTCTGACACTTTGAAATAAAAAAGAATCTTGGATGGGAGGCAAAACGTCTTCAAAATTGGAAACAAAGTCCAGTGGGGTTTTTTTTTCAACTTTTTTTGGAATGACTATGACCAATAGTCTAGATGTAAAAAAAAGCAGAAAAAAGAAGGGGGGGATGGTGGAATTGTTTTTTTGGAAGCATACATAGCCTGATTAATATACTGTAGTCTATCAACCTAAAGCAAGTTTGGTTGTTATGTACATGTCAGGTATGCCGGTCATTGACCTTAACCAAGGCACCTTATAGAGGAGCTGCACCCTGTCCCTGGACTGCAATGACTATCACTGCCCCTAAATAGTTAGGGACAAATACAGGCGACAAATCTCCCACTGTGATCAGATTCATAGTCATGGAAGGTCACTTCTTTGATTTGATTTCTTTTGCTCAGGCTACTCCTAAGCCCACAGCCAGGTTAATCTTGAAAGGGCAATATTGTTGCCATTACTGTTAATGTGCCCTATTTGTTGGTACTCGCTGCTACCATACCACCATTTTAGTGCTGGATAGGGGCCCCGCCCGATACTAGTATCGGTGCAACACTAATACGTATATATATATATATATATCAATCTATGCAATCCATTCCTCATACATACACTTTTGCAGGAGGAGCGTCACAGAAAAGAGGAAGAGGAGGCCAAAAAGAAGGCAGATGATGATGCCAAGAAGAAGAAAGTGCTAACTGGCATGGGAGCCAACTTTGGAGGCTTCCTGACCAAGGTCAGTCACTTGTTTTCAGGCGGGTTGATGAGGAGAACAGGACAGAGCAGAGGGTGACGATGTGGGGTTCAACTCTGTTCCAGGCTGAGTCGAGGAAGAGCAAACGGCTGACAGGCAGGGAGATCAAAAGGAAGACACTGGCTGATAGACGGCAGCCTTTAGGCATCGATAATATGAGAGAGGATGGTTTAAGGTGAGTGGCGTTCTTTTTTTATTTTGGAGATAATGCTTGTCAAGCAGAGGCTAATCAGGAAACATGGTCATATTTTTGAACAAAAGTATAGGCACTGTTGTTAAAAACTATTAA